AGTCGACTCCACTGTTGAGTCGACTCCACTGTTGAGTCGACTCCACTGTTGAGTCGAGTCGACTCCACTGTTGAGTCGACTCCACTGTTGAGTTGAATCGACTCCACTGTTGAGTCGACTCCACTGTTGAGTCGACTCCACTGTTGAGTCGACTCCACTGTTGAGTCGACTCCACTGTTGAGTCGACTCCACTGTTGAGTCGACTCCACTGTTGAGTCGAGTCGACTCCACTGTTGAGTCGACTCCACTGTTGAGTCGACTCCACTGTTGAGTCGACTCCACTGTTGAGTCGACTCCACTGTTGAGTCGAGTCGACTCCACTGTTGAGTCGACTCCACTGTTGAGTCGACTCCACTGTTGAGTCGAGTCGACTCCACTGTTGAGTCGACTCCACTGTTGAGTCGACTCCACTGTTGAGTCGACTCCACTGTTGGAGTCGACTCCACTGTTGAGTCGAGTCGACTCCACTGTTGAGTCGAGTCGACTCCACTGTTGAGTCGACTCCACTGTTGAGTCGACTCCACTGTTGAGTCGACTCCACTGTTGAGTCGACTCGACTCCACTGTTGAGTCGACTCCACTGTTGAGTCGAGTCGACTCCACTGTTGAGTCGACTCCACTGTTGAGTCGACTCCACTGTTGAGTCGACTCCACTGTTGAGTCGACTCCACTGTTGAGTCGACTCCACTGTTGAGTCGAGTCGACTCCACTGTTGAGTCGACTCCACTGTTGAGTCGACTCCACTGTTGAGTCGACTCCACTGTTGAGTCGAGTCGACTCCACTGTTGAGTCGACTCCACTGTTGAGTCGACTCCACTGTTGAGTCGACTCCACTGTTGAGTCGACTCCACTGTTGAGTCGAGTCGACTCCACTGTTGAGTCGACTCCACTGTTGAGTCGACTCCACTGTTGAGTCGACTCCACTGTTGAGTCGACTCCACTGTTGAGTCGAGTCGACTCCACTGTTGAGTCGACTCCACTGTTGAGTCGACTCCACTGTTGAGTCGACTCCACTGTTGAGTCGAGTCGACTCCACTGTTGAGTCGACTCCACTGTTGAGTCGACTCCACTGTTGAGTCGACTCCACTGTTGAGTCGAGTCGACTCCACTGTTGAGTCGACTCCACTGTTGAGTCGACTCCACTGTTGAGTCGAGTCGACTCCACTGTTGAGTCGACTCCACTGTTGAGTCGACTCCACTGTTGAGTCGACTCCACTGTTGAGTCGACTCCACTGTTGAGTCGACTCCACTGTTGAGTCGACTCCACTGTTGAGTCGACTCCACTGTTGAGTCGACTCCACTGTTGAGTCGAGTCGACTCCACTGTTGAGTCGACTCCACTGTTGAGTCGAGTCGACTCCACTGTTGAGTCGAGTCGACTCCACTGTTGAGTCGACTCCACTGTTGAGTCGACTCCACTGTTGAGTCGACTCCACTGTTGAGTCGACTCCACTGTTGAGTCGACTCCACTGTTGAGTCGACTCCACTGTTGAGTCGACTCCACTGTTGAGTCGAGTCGACTCCACTGTTGAGTCGACTCCACTGTTGAGTCGACTCCACTGTTGAGTCGACTCCCTGACTCCACTGTTGAGTCGACTCCACTGTTGAGTCGACTCCACTGTTGAGTCGACTCCACTGTTGGTCGACTCCCACTGTTGAGGAGTCGACTCCACTGTTGAGTCGGACTCCACTTGTTGAGTCGACTCCACTTGTTGAGTCGGACTCCACTGTTGAGTCGACTCCACTGTTGAGTCGACTCCACCGGTGCGTGACTCCACTGTTGAGTTCGACTCCACGTGTTGAGTCGACTCCACTGTTGAGGTTCGGACTCCACTGTTGAGTCGACTCCACTGTTGAGTCGAGCGACTCACTGTTGAGTCGAGTCGACTCCACTGTTGAGTCGACTCCACTGTTGAGTCGACTCCACTGTTGAGTCGACTCCACTGTTGAGTCGGACTCCACTGTTGAGTCGACTCCACTGTTGGAGTCGACTCCACTGTTGAGTCGACTCCACTGTTGAGTCGAGTCGACTCCACTGTTGAGTCGACTCCACTGTTGAGTCGACTCCACTGTGAGTCGACTCCACTGTTGGAGTCGACTCCACTGTTGAGTCGACTCCACTGTTGAGTCGAGTCGACTCCACTGTTGAGTCGACTCCACTGTTGAGTCGACTCCACTGTTGAGTGACTCCACTGTTGAGTCGACTCCACTGTTGAGTCGAGTCGACTCCACTGTTGAGTCGACTCCACTGTTGAGTCGACTCCACTGTTGAGTCGACTCCACTGTTGAGTCGAGTCGACTCCACTGTTGAGTCGACTCCACTGTTGAGTCGACTCCACTGTTGAGTCGACTCCACTGTTGAGTCGACTCCACTGTTGAGTCGACTCCACTGTTGAGTCGAGTCGACTCCACTGTTGAGTCGACTCCACTGTTGAGTCGACTCCACTGTTGAGTCGACTCCACTGTTGAGTCGACTCCACTGTTGAGTCGACTCCACTGTTGAGTCGACTCCACTGTTGAGTCGAGTCGACTCCACTGTTGAGTCGACTCCACTGTTGAGTCGACTCCACTGTTGAGTCGAGTCGACTCCACTGTTGAGTCGACTCCACTGTTGAGTCGACTCCACTGTTGAGTCGACTCCACTGTTGAGTCGACTCCACTGTTGAGTCGAGTCGACTCCACTGTTGAGTCGACTCCACTGTTGAGTCGACTCCACTGTTGAGTCGACTCCACTGTTGAGTCGACTCCACTGTTGAGTCGACTCCACTGTTGAGTCGAGTCGACTCCACTGTTGAGTCGAGTCGACTCCACTGTTGAGTCGACTCCACTGTTGAGTCGACTCCACTGTTGAGTCGACTCCACTGTTGAGTCGACTCCACTGTTGAGTCGACTCCACTGTTGAGTCGACTCCACTGTTGAGTCGACTCCACTGTTGAGTCGAGTCGACTCCACTGTTGAGTCGACTCCACTGTTGAGTCGACTCCACTGTTGAGTCGACTCCACTGTTGAGTCGACTCCACTGTTGAGTCGACTCCACTGTTGAGTCGAGTCGACTCCACTGTTGAGTCGACTCCACTGTTGAGTCGACTCCACTGTTGAGTCGAGTCGACTCCACTGTTGAGTCGACTCCACTGTTGAGTCGACTCCACTGTTGAGTGAGTCGACTCCACTGTTGAGTCGACTCCACTGTTGAGTCGACTCCACTGTTGAGTCGACTCCACTGTTGAGTCGAACTCCACTGTTGAGTCGACTCCACTGTTGAGTCGACTCCACTGTTGAGTCGACTCCACTGTTGAGTCGACTCCACTGTTGAGTCGACTCCACTGTTGAGTCGACTCCACTGTTGAGTCGACTCCACTGTTGAGTCGACTCCACTGTTGAGTCGAGTCGACTCCACTGTTGAGTCGACTCCACTGTTGAGTCGACTCCACTGTTGTCGAGTCGACTCCACTGTTGAGTCGACTCCACTGTTGAGTCGACTCCACTGTTGAGTCGACTCCACTGTTGAGTCGACTCCACTGTTGAGTCGACTCCACTGTTGAGTCGACTCCACTGTTGAGTCGACTCCACTGTTGAGTCGACTCCACTGTTGAGTCGACTCCACTGTTGAGTCGACTCCACTGTTGAGTCGAGTCGACTCCACTGTTGAGTCCGACTCCACTGTTGAGTCGACTCCACTGTTGAGTCGAGTCGACTCCACTGTTGAGTCGACTCCACTGTTGAGTCGACTCCACTGTTGAGTCGAGTCGACTCCACTGTTGAGTCGACTCCCTGTTGAGTCGAGTCGACTCCACTGTTGAGTCGACTCCACTGTTGAGTCGACTCCACTGTTGAGTCGACTCCACTGTTGAGTCGACTCCACTGTTGAGTCGACTCCACTGTTGAGTCGAGTCGACTCCACTGTTGAGTCGACTCCACTGTTGAGTCGACTCCACTGTTGAGTCGACTCCACTGTTGAGTCGACTCCACTGTTGAGTCGACTCCACTGTTGAGTCGACTCCACTGTTGAGTCGAGTCGACTCCACTGTTGAGTCGACTCCACTGTTGAGTCGACTCCACTGTTGAGTCGACTCCACTGTTGAGTCGACTCCACTGTTGAGTCGACTCCACTGTTGAGTCGAGTCGACTCCACTGTTGAGTCGACTCCACTGTTGAGTCGACTCCACTGTTGAGTCGACTCCACTGTTGAGTCGACTCCACTGTTGAGTCGACTCCACTGTTGAGTCGACTCCACTGTTGAGTCGACTCCACTGTTGAGTCGAGTCGACTCCACTGTTGAGTCGACTCCACTGTTGAGTCGACTCCACTGTTGAGTCGACTCCACTGTTGAGTCGACTCCACTGTTGAGTCGACTCCACTGTTGAGTCGACTCCACTGTTGAGTCGACTCCACTGTTGAGTCGACTCCACTGTTGAGTCGACTCGACTCCACTGTTGAGTCGACTCCACTGTTGAGTCGACTCCACTGTTGAGTCGACTCCACTGTTGAGTCGACTCCACTGTTGAGTCGACTCCACTGTTGAGTCGACTCCACTGTTGAGTCGACTCCACTGTTGAGTCGACTCCACTGTCCATGTTCCTGTCCGCTCCACTGTTGCTCGCCACAGCACAGTGTGATATCTGCTCTCGTGTTCCAAGTAGTCTTTTCTCAGGGTGGTCACACCTACCTCTTGTCGTGCTTCTTGGGGTTTCATCTTGCACAGTGCGGTTCCTCTTGTCCTTTCACTTGCTATCCGTGCCGTTTGTTCCAATTCCGCAGGATGTTTTTGAGAAATCTCAAAAACACCTTGTCCTTTCACTTGCTATCCATACCATCTGTTCCGATTCCAACTGCGGCTTTGGATCGCAACAGCAGTTCCTCTCTGCCATTGGCTCTGAAGAATTCCTGTCACAGCAGTTCATCTCGTTTCCTCACCAACTGTGCTTCACTTTTTGTCCCACCACGTGGGTCACAACGCTGGCATTGCGATGTGTTGCGACGACACTGCAATGTGATGTGGCAGGTGCCAGATGACATAGTGAAGGCAGCGAGGGATGCAGCAGAGGCAGCAATGGATGAAGACATGGATGACTGAGGATGCCACTGTTGAGCCTTGGGGCTGGTTCGTTTTTTTTTTTTTTTAACCAATTAGACAGATGTGACTGCCACGCACAATTGTACAGATTCAGATCCTGCTAGTGAAAACTATTGCTGCGCTGACAGTAGCAGATCGTTATCTGCTGCATAAATGGAAGAACGCAATTTCACTGTGCTCTTGCCTGTGCGAGAGGAAGGGTTTTCTGGAGAGTGAGCATGCATGCAGGCAGGCATGGAAGCAAGTCATTGCCCCCAGGGCTGCATGCATGCACCATTGCTGCAGGCAGAAAATGGGACAGGGTCACAGCACGCTAACGCTTGTTGCAGGGAGGCACGGAAAGAGCCTCACAGCCAGCCTCGTTGCAGACAGTGCACTCTGGCCAGTGCGGCCATGTAATCCCCCGACCTGCCATGGCAGGGAAGAGAGGTGACGAGGTGACGAGGCAAATGGTTGAAGTGGAGGAGAGACAAGGAAAAAGAGGCTACGATGAAGGGAGGACCAGGAGGCAATGCGAACGGAGGTGAGGGAAAAGTTTCAGGCAGATCATGAGGCACATGATGATGACTTGGGAGGGTCAAAGAGGAGGGAAGGGAAGGGCGAGTGGACATGGAAGCACAAGGGGGCAACGGGGAATGTAAGGGGCGTGCCCGTGGTGTTGGCGTTTACAGCAGCTCCTGTGAATCCCTTCAGCTGACAAGACACCTATACCACAGCTCATGTAGGACCCTTGGGATTTAGCTTCCCCGCTAGGGCCAGTCTCATGGCTGACGGTGTGCTTGCACAAGAAAGAAATCAAGAAACAAGAAGAAGGGAAAAGAAACGGCCATATACCTGAGCCCATAGGGGGATTTTGCAGCCTCGAGAATGTAACGCCTGCTCTGCTCCTGGTCGCCCTGCAGCCCACCACACACACAGCACGTAACAAGGGGCGTCAATGCAATGCCGTGAGAATGAGTGTGATCCAGTAGGTGTGTGTGCAAGCATGAATCGGTGTGGTTTTATTGCTGGGAGTCTCACACCTCCGATGACCTGACATCCCTCTTTCTCCAGCATCCCTCACAAGCCTCCCAACCCAAGTAGCGACAACTCAAGCAGGTTCCTTCTTCCACCATGCTCTTGTGAAACAGTGTGTGTGTGTGCGCACGCGGTGACTTTTGAGTCGACTCAAAAGCCACCTTGTGAAACAGTGTGTGTGTGTGCGCACACGCTGCTGGAAATCTCACCTCGCTCTCGTGAAACAAACCAACGTAGAGATTTGCATAGAACAGTGCAGATGGCCGCCCGAAGTCAGCAGCTGCTGCTGCTAGGATCTGAACAAGCAGGCAAAGTGGGGGGCGAGTGGGAGGAAGTGAAGAAGAGGTACGAGGACCAAGCTTGGGGATGAGGAACGGGGATGAGGCTCAGGAAGAAGGCTTGGGAAGAAGACTTGAGGAGCCACAGGAGAAACCAAATTTGGGCAATATCTGAAGTATGTTAGGTGTTCTAAAAATCGCCCACATCATCTGGCAAAACAGACCAAAGAGTCCTGTATCATTGTTACAGCCCACCATTTTAGGGTCGCCTCTCTTCTGAAAGACTTCCATGGCCGCTTGCATAACAAGGCGCAGGTCCTGCCCCACGAGCAGGAACTGCTGCCTCGCCTGCTGTGGTTCCTGTATCCTCGTTTTAGCCTACCATTTTAGGGTCACCGCCCTTCTGAAAGACGTCCATGGTAGCGCGCATGACAGGCCGCGGGTCCTTGTATCCTCGTTAGAGCTTACCTCGTTAGAGTGGCCACCCTTCTGAAAGACATACATGGCAGCTGGCATTACAAAAAAGTGTCCTGTATCCACGTTACAATCTACCTTTTTAGGGTCGCCGCCCTTCTGAAAGACGTCCATGGCAGCACGCATGACCGGGCGCGGGTCCTGCCCCACGAGCAGGAACTGCTGCCTCGCCTGCTGTGGGCCCACCTCGCGCGCCTCACTCAAGGAACACCAGATGGCCTGCCACGCCTCAAACGGCAGAGGTGGGGAGGCAGGTGGCAGAGTTTAGGGTTTAGGGTGGAGCGCTCTCTGCACCTGACTGGAAAGCTTTTTTGAGACGTCTCAAAAAGGAACGCTCTCTGCACCTGACTGGAAAGTGAGTCTGATCTGGAGCCTTGGAAGTGAGCCTGTGCCTGGAAACGCCAAATGAAGCATGAATCACCTCACGTCACCGCACTTGACCGCACCGCACCTTTACCGTTTTTCACCTCACCTCATCTTCACCACACCACACTGCACAGCACCACACCACACCTCACCGCACCACACCGCGCCTCACCTCACCTCACCGCACCTCACCTCTCCTCACCGCACCTCCTCCGTGTCGTTGGGGTTCACCGCCACGTCCTTGCGAAACTGGTCCGCTGCTTCCTGGAACCTTCCAAGGTAGTAGAGTGAAAGCCCCCGCTGCCAAAGGTCTGATGGGGCGATGAAGGGTGCGGAGGAGAGGGAGAGAGGGGATAGGGACGAGGTAAGGAGGAGCAAGAATGTAGGGTGAAAGCATGAGCGGCAGGGGCGAGGGGAGGTGCGGAGGTGAGGGGCAGAGAGGAGAATAGGCAGGAGCAAGAAGAGTGGGGGAGAGGGAGAAGCACCAGTTATTACCCTTCCTGCTACAGCCGGCACTCACACGGCTCCTGTGAGGGGTCCAGCTGTAGCGCTCTGTCAAACTCCGCTCTAAAGGCGCGTCAAACGGCGCTCATATACACACATGGCACTCACACGGCTCCTGTGAGGGGTCCAGCTGTAGCGCTCTGTCAAACTCCGCTTTAAAGGCGTGTCAAACGGCGCTCATATACACACATGGCACTCACACGGCTCCTGTGAGGGGTCCAGCTGTAGCGCTCTGTCAAACTCCGCTTTAAAGGCGCGTCAAACGGCGCTCATATGCACACATGGCACTCACAGGGCTCCTGCGAGGGGTCCAGCTGTAGTGCTCTGTCAAACTCCACAACCGAGCCCTGCACGTCGTTCTGGTGGCATGGCGTGGCGGGATGTGGGGCATGGGGGACATGGGGAGAATGGGGGGCATGGGAGGCAGTGAGACATGGCGCATTGGCCGGTGGGCGTCACGTGATGTGTTGACACAGCAGGACATGAGCTCTACTCAACCTCAACGCTCTCCGGCCCTCCCTCCTCTTCCTCCAACACGCTAGTGACTCTCTTGCGCTTCCAGTCAGTACCTCCACGAATAGCTCCATGCCACGTCGGACGGCCGCTCTCGCTGCCTCCCGATTCCCGCCGAATCCGCCCGCCATCGCGATGGTCGCCGCTCCGCCAATCGCGGCGGCAGCCACAGCCGCTAGAGGGGCGGCGGGAAATTCTCCCCATTCGATCATTCCACCATTTGCGTAAATGTTCTGTTTACGCCGATTGCAAGTGAAGCTACTTCCGCCGAGATGGTCTGCATTGCGCGCCGAACCGTTCCGCCATCTGCGGAGTGAACTTTCCCGCGAAAAAGCGGACAATGCGCGGGAACATGCTGTGGGAGCTTTCGAATTTCGATTAAATGCTTGAATGTCCGTCGTGGCGGGAAACACGGCGCGCGTTCCGGCCATTGTCCTAGTTACGCAACGAACCAACGACAGATAATCCCTGATTGAAATCTGGTTCCAAGAGGGCGCAAATTGCAGTTGCGCTTGTGTTCAGATACCCGTTAGGAGCTACATCATCACAAAGTGAAAACTGGCCCAAGTATGTGTAAGCGCCTCATATAATTCAGTGAGCAGTCGGGATGTTTCCAGATTCTGAATATTTCGGTGCAAGTTGACCGGTGGTTTGTGTGTCGCTTGCGGGCAGAGACGCCAAATCTGAGTCGTCGAGGTAAGAGATGTAAATGAATCTGACGTCTATTATATGAACTTACGAGATCGGGCAGCCAATACAGAGTGCAGCCATCACACACAGCTCAAACGAAACGTGGCTCTTCCGAGTTCCTTCCGAACCACCGCACAACCGACTTGCTGGGTAGGGCGCGCTTCGCTCAGCCCCACATCCAGCCAATCGTGCATTTTTGTCGTGAAACGAAAGGGCAAATTCCCGCACCGCTAGAGCTTTGTACTGGTTGGGTTCGGTTACTAAGTCTGCACGGGAGCCAGCAAACCGAACGCTCGCCGAACCAGAATGATGAGCCTCACACCAATAGCAGAAGCTGTAACGTCCAACAAAGCGCAACCATAGGTTTGGTGTCAGGTGCTCACAGCCAGCTTCGCACGGTTTCGGTCGAACCGAGCCGACGATCAGGTCAACGCAGCGCAGCCAGCAAATCCAAAGCAAGTGCAGCTTTTCGTGCAGAAGAGGCGCAGTTACAGCACGGGGAGATGGGCGCTTTCGCTGGCTTTCGTCTCCCAACTCGCGATTGCGCCGCACCCACATCTCCTGGACCCACCACCACTCTTTCCGAACCTACGAGACGTGGTGGTTGCAGGGGGAGGTGGGGGGGGACCAAGGGTTGCTTTCACTGAAATGCAATGTCCTCCTGCCTTCTGGCAGTTCTTTTCCGATATGCACGCACGCACCTGTTTGCTCAAACTCATCCTCATTTTCAGCAAGTCGGACATGCCTTTTCCCCGAAGATAGACAACAGTTTTAGGAAGTTGACTAGGTAGCCAAGTCAGCTCACCTCGCTTCTGCGTTTCTTGTCGCGCGTCCGCTCCTTTGTACTAGAGTCGAAGTTTTAACCACCTACTTAGCAGTCGTCCCGTCACCGTAGGTGGAAATGGTTTCTCCACGCGAACGAGTCAGTTACTCCTGGTGTCTCGCGAGCGGAGCGCTGCTGCTGGCGGCAGCAGTGGCGCTGCTCCTCTTGCCGTGCGCCGATGCCGCGCGGAAGGATACCTGGTCTCCGCGGACCTTCACCGACGATCCTTTCCCCGTGCCGCCGCCCGACTGGCAAAACCTCCCCTTCCTGCGCCGCCAAGAGAGCGCGCGCCGCAGGCTTCTGAGCGGTGGTGGCGTGTCACGTCCTCATTGGATGCCTGCTAGCGAGTACACCCTTCCCTGGATGCTGGGGGATCGGAAACCGCTCATTCCCACAGAACCCTCGGAGGGGGAAGCTGACGTGGCAGAGGCGGCGGCCACGTCATCCGGAAATGACGGGTGGCTTGGGGCTAGTGGGGCAGGTGTTGCTTCTACCGCTGCTGCTAGCGGTGGGGCAGGCGTGGGAGCGGTGGGGGGGACGAGATACGCACTGGCGCAGCGCAAGGGCGTGTGCTCCCCAGTTGACGCCGCGACTCCGCGCATCGTGGTTACCACCGAGGCCGACTTCGTGAAACGCCTCAAGTATCCGCGAAAGACGACGGTCCTGATGACGCTGAAAGCGGATATAATGCTAAAGAAAGGCCTCGTTTTTGGCCCCTACTACTCGTGCACGATCCTGCAAGCGGATGTCACGGGGAACCGTACGATCTCGTTAGCTGGAGCTGATCAGCCCATCCTCCGAACGGTCGAGACGTTCAACGTGGTCGTATGGGGAATCAACTTCTGGATGGGCGTTCTTCCTACTTCCCCTGCTTGCAAGGGGATACCGGAGCTCGGAGCGGGGGTGGTTTGCCCTACAATTCACGTGTACAAATCGTTCGGCATCCAAATCGCACAGGGTTACCTGTGGGGGCGAATGGACCTGTATCGCACGATGAATTCGCTAGTCGACGGGATGGCGATCACGGGCGAGTTCCCATTCGCCAAAAGCCCCGGGTCCATCCGCATCGCATTCAGCGGGATCGGCACCCGGGCGATCAAGTCGGGCATCGTGCTCTCGAATAACGACATTTACGGTGAGTCGCCTGTCACGCCTGCCACATGGCCCTGTCACACTCGTCGCCTCCTTCCCCTGTGAATTTTTTCCTTCTTTGCCAAACACCTCTCCACCTTTCGTTCCTCGCTCCCTTACCGATTTCACCTCTATACGCTCGCGCGTGCCCCACTCGGCCCACGCCCGTTCTCCCTCCTAATCTTGCTCTTCTCTCACTCCCCCTGTTTCTCCTCCGTTTGTGCGTTCCGCCCTCCTTTTCGTCCCCTCTCCCTCCCTTCCCTACCCTCCCCCCTTCCGCTTCCCTCTCCCTCCCCTCTCCCCTCCCATTATCCCGTTTCCCCATTCCCCGCGTATCTGGCGCAGTCGTCAACACGCCCGTCTACTTGACCAGCGGCGCCGTCGGCGTGCAGGTAACGTCTGACGGCTAGCAGTCAAACCTTACCACCCTACACTTGAATACGGTCACCCGAATACCATGTGCTTTTATTTCCTCTCGTGGTTACCGCACCATGCTCAATTGTCGTCTTCCCTTCCCCCCTCCCCTCCCCCCTCTCTCATCCCCCTCTTCGGCTCACCTTCATGCTCCAATTCAAGTTTCCTTCACTTGGCGCCTCACCGCCTCCCTTCCACTCTTCTCCACCCCTCTCCGCTCCTCACCACTCCTCTCCACCCCTCTCCACCCTTCCCCACCCCTCTGCAGATTGTGAACAACTTTCTGCACCAGTACACGGGCAGCGGTGTGCAGTGCGGGACGCACGTGAACAACGCGGGCAGCTGCATGATGACGTTCATCGGCCGCAACTGGTTCTTCCCCAACGTCACCATCACCGCCAAGACCGACATTGCGAATATCCGCTTCACCACGCACTGGATCAGCCCTGGTGCGTGCTTTCCTCCCCTCGCCCCTGTGTGCCCCACTCGTACTCGTGTGCTGCCCCCCTGTCCCCCCGCCCCCCTGCTCCCCTGCTCCCCTGCTCCCTGTCCCACTACCGCCAAGACCAATCTCCAACATCCGCTTCACCATGCATTGGATCAGCCCTGGTGCGTGCTTCTCCCGTGTGCCCTATATGCCTACCCCTCTCGTTCCCCATCCCTGCGTCACTCTGAATACACCGCATGCCCCATCCCTCTTGCTCACCTCAGCCCCCACTTGCTGCCCCCACTTGCTCCCCCCATCCACACCTGCTGTCATCAGGCAATGCGGCGTCGTGCAACTACATACTGTGCTGCAACAGCTGCAAGTCCCCTGAAACACACTTGCCTCAAACTCACCGCTCTTGCTCACCCCATCCCACCTGCTCCCATCAGGCAATGCGGCGTCGTGCAACTACATACTGTGCTGCAACAGCTGCAAGTCCCCTGAAACACACTTGCCTCAAACTCACCGCTCTTGCTCACCCCATCCCACCTGCTCCCATCAGGCAATGCGGCGTCGTGCAACTACATGCTGGGCGGCAACAGCTGCTTCAGCCTAGAGGCCGACACCACCGGCGTTGTCGTCCTGGGGGGCGCGTGCATGGGTGCTTTTAACGGGGTCAACATTGAGAACGGCAAAGAGTACGTCTGTTGATGCTTTACGATCCGTTGCTGCTTCACCTCTGGTAAGGGGGTTGCATTTGAAATTACACTGGGCTGACTTTCTCATTTGTCTCTCTCCCTTGCTGATTTCCTTTGTTTTCATATATGTTATTTAACAATACAGGAACCGGATACAGTATGTGTGGGTGAAGGACTACACTGCCGTCCCGGGGTCAGCCACGTGTCCCACAGTGACAAGCATCAACTGCAACACGCCCACGGGCAAGCTGTGGGAGAGCAAGCGGATCAAATACTACAACTCGCCTGCCATCAACAAGGTACTCGTCATGATGTGTTGGAGCACCTTCAACATCTCCCCTGTCATAACCGGAAAACAAACAAAAAAAAGTTCTTTGCATACTCAACTACATACCCCGTGCAGTCGTTGCGTTGGTATCCTTGCACTCTCTTATCTTGTGCAATGTCGCTCGTACCCTTGCACATGTAGCCAGAGTGCTTCCCCCTCTCACTTGTGTCTTCTCCCTCCCTCCCCCCCTCCATCCACTCCTTTCTTACCTTTCCTCCACTTGTCTCCCACACCCCTGCCGAACCATCACTTCCAGCGCTGGCCCTACTTGAGCAATATCTGCAAGTCCACAAGCATCGGCACAGTGCCCTGCAATGTCCCCACGGCCGGGTCCCTCAACGCACAGCAAACCGGCAAGTGCAGCGGCCTTCCCACCAGTAACATCCTCGATCTCGCTCTGCTGGACGGCAGCAAATTCCCGCTGAGCTTCCAAGGATGCGAAAAGACCCCTTCTGTGCCAACAGTGAACAAGTTCTCGAGCATCAGGTACACTTCGGCCAATGTTCCAGGTCTGCAGTTTGTGAATTACACGACTGGAAGCCTGGAGGTGAAGCCTACGTCTCCTATATTCAAGCAATGGCCTCGGTTCATGAACTGCAAATTGGACTCGCTTGGGTTGAAGTCTCGACCAGCCCGGGCATACTTGGGATTCTACAACGTACCTGTTCCGCTTGGATTCCCTCAGTTGCTGACGATGACAAGTGACCACTTGTAGCAGAGCTGGGCAAGGAATATTGTTTTTCTACTCATCGCTGTAGTAGACTCACAGAATGAGAACATAATTGTTGTTAGGTGAAGCATTCGTAGATTGTAAAATTTGAGTAGGAGAATGTACTGTATAATTTTGTGCCAGATTGAAATGCGAAATCGCCAACCTCAGAGAACCACAGACGAAAGAGGTCATGGGCATGTTTTCGTGCGCACGTTCCCCTTCCTCCTCCGCATTGCACCACGACTGCGCGAACGGTGCAAATGTCGCGAATTCCAAAAAGAATCTCGCGGCTCGATTTTTCGGGGGCGAATTTCACCGACAAGACGAGGCAATTGCAGTTGCGAATTCCAAGCTCCAGCTTCCAACGTTCAATTCTCACTCCAAAACAGCTTCCTTTGAGCCTTGCACCACAATCCATAGAACAATTCGAGGTCTCATTAGCGCTTCGCCCAGCATTCAACCACCTGCTTTCTTTACGTCGCATTCGACAATTAATTCGTATCTTCCGGTTCCGAGCCAAGGTCGCCTCGCTGTCACTCAATATCGTTCTCGCCTCTTGAAATCTCTTCCTGAGACACCACGCGAACCGCAAGCGTCAGGATGGGCCGGTTTGGCCCGGCTGCGCTGATCGCGTGCGTGTCGCTGCTGATCCTTCTCGCGGCACCAGCGGTGAAGCCTGATGAGGATTCTTCACGTGAACCACTAGCTATCGGGGACGGTAAGCTCTCTTATTCAAACAACTTCGTCGGCTCTAAGGGCGTCTGTGTTCCGTTTCCTGTTCTCTGCTGTAAACCACTGCTCGCGTTGACCTAACCTTCCGTAATCTCTCGGCTGCGTCGCATTTCCGCAGGCGACCAGGACGCATGGCAGCAATCCTCGCCTCTATCGCTCATAGAGGTTTTATTCCCAACGTCGCCTGCGCTCTCCTCCCCCTACCGCCTCCTCAAGTCCACCCCGGCCCCCACGAAGCCCTCCACCCGCGCAAGCTCCGCCACCCGCGCAAGCTCCCCTGCCCGCGCAAGCTCCGCGCCAGCCTCCGACAAGAAGGGTAGTGGGAAGAAACTGCAGCAGTCGGGAAAATCGGCGTCAGAGGGCGCCACGTCAGCAGGAGCCGGAACAGCCCTCTCGACGTCCGCTTCTGGGAAGGGGAAGCGGGGGAAAAAGGGAAAAGCGGGGGGTGCCGCGAAAGCAAGTGAGACGAGCAGTTCGCTGCAGAGCGGAACGAAAAAGGCGGGGAAGAAAGGAAAGAAAACGGCTGTTTCATCTGGCAAAACGGGCAAAAAGGGGTCGGCTGGTGAGAGGAAGAAGGGTGGGCATAAGTGGCCTCGCGAGGGCACAACTGGGTCTACTGGTGAGAGGAAGAAGGGTGGACATAAGTGGGCTCGCAAGGGCACGAAACAGTCTACTGTGAAGAAGTCGACGGCACAGACGGCGAACGGACCAGTAGCGAAGAAGGCCGCGACGACTTCGCCAGCGTCGGGCAACTCGCGCGGGCGCGCCAAGTCTGGAAAGGGGAAGAAGAAGAGAAGCACTGCCGCGGCCTCACCAGCTGGCTCCGCTTCAGCCGGTGCAAAGTCCGGAGGGGGCAAAGGGAAGGCAACGTCGGGCAAGTCCAACTCGCGTGGGGGATCCTCACCTCCCGCTGCAGCTCCCGCGCGCTCGCACAAGAAGGGCAAGACGACGAAACGCAGCCAGGAGGTCGGCTATGGCATTGAAGGAAAAGGGTCATCGAATTCCGGCAAGTCAACGAAGCCGCCTGCGTCTTCCTCGAAAGGAAGCGCGCCGAGCTCAGCGAAGGCGCCCAAAGGCTCTGACTCGGATGCCTCCAAGGCAAGCAAAGCGCCGAAGCCGTCCAGCAGCCCAACTAGCAGCCCCAAGCCCACCAAGGATAAGAACCCGGATTTGGCAAAGGCTGATTCAGGCTCGGACAAATCAGGCTCGGATGCAAAACCTCCTCCTCCCTCTTCTCCCGCCAAGCCAAGCAAGGGGAAGAAGGACAAGCCACCCCCGCCAGCAGACACGAGTGAGAGCGAACCTGCCAGCTCGCCTCCTGCTACTCCTGTCCCGAAGATGATATGCGAGAAACACAAGGGGCAGCAGCTGATGGTGATGGACGGCAATCTCTTCTTCACAGGGAGTGTGGAGAAGTGCGAGAGTGCTTGTATCAAGGATGCTTCCTGCCTCCTGTACACCTTCTCGGGACTCAGCTGTCAACTTTTCACGGCTAATATGACTGCCAGGCCTGTCAAGGCATGCTTTTCGCGTAAGTGTCAGTGGGGGAAGTGCAGAGACACAGAGGGAGATGGTAGCGAGGAGGACAGTGGCGGGGATAGCAGTTCTGATGGGGATACTGGTGGTGCGGATGAGAGTGGGGGAGGTGATTATGGGGGTGAATCCACTGGAGGTGACTCCACTGAGGATGGCAGCACCAGTGACTCAGGCGAGGATTCCAGCTCAGATGGAGGGACCATTGACTACGGGAGATGATGCAGGTTAGGGTTATTATTATACCATTGACCACCGTTTCTGTACTTAGGTTTAGGTACAACCAGCTAACATTCCATGAAATGCTAATTTTTATATGTCATTTGGTACACCTAGTCCGCGGTATTTTAACCGCCGCTATCTTAACCGCGCGAGGGTACTTCTCCTTGGTCAAACTTTTTTATACGAGTAGTTTTGAAATTTATGGAGGGTATAATATAGCATACCCTTTGTGAGGCGACGGCATTCAAAATCTGGTCAATGCCGATCCTCCCTCTATTTCGGAGCACTAAGTGTGAGTTTCTTTAGTAGGAAATTCTTCTGCTGCGAAACAATAGCCTTGAAGTCTCTGGGTGCCCATCTCATTACCCGAAAATGAACAAAGGGTGTTTGAAGCAAAACAGTTCACGTGGTTAAAATACCGCGGACTAGGTGTATGTCACACCATCAGTGTTTGTTCATGATGATATTGAAAGCTGGCGTGGACAAAACCAGTCAATCTCTACCACGTGGAAACGTCGCCCACATACGGACCAGTCTTAGGGCGTGGTGCATCATATGCAAGCGGGGTCCAAGTCTTGGACCCCAGAGCGGGTAACCCTACGAATGTGATACAAACGCGCGCGAATGTACCACTCCATGTCAGGACTGTACCAGAAAACAAAATGCTGTTGAACTCGGGGGTCAAGCGTTTGACCTCGCACGAGCGAACCGCAGGGTCAACCAGTCAAGAAAGGTAACATGCCGCACTGTCGAGGGAGTTACGGGGAAACATTTCCCACCCAGGGACTCACGCGAAAATTGCGATACGCCCATGTGGGTGCCGCGAAAGGCCTTTGCGAAAATGTTGACTGAGCACACTGCCGATTTCCTGAACGAAGCGCGTTACGTATCAGAAACTGGTAATCTTGGACCTCGGTTTTTATCTTACAAGCTCAACACGCTGAACCTCCGTCGAGCCTGCAAAACGACCCCACGACGGATTGGACCTCATTTTGCACATGATGCACCACGCCCTTAGTGCTGCTCCTTCTTGACATTTTCGCCCGCATATGCAAGCCGCCCCCCCATCCCACAGTGGCTTCTTGACTTTCGCAATGAAGCATTCCTCCTCTCCGCCCCTCAAGTGGGCATTGCGCTTGCGCACCTCTCGGCCCTGTTCTGTTGCCGCACCACTTGGTGCGGACCCCTCCGCACAGCACCAAATTGATGCTTCTTCTGGGATTCGACCGGAGATCCTAGGAGCTTCATTTACGGGGGCGTATCCCTTGATACCAAAAGTGATCCCCCGCTCCCAGGCAAAATGGGTGCGGGGCTGGTGCGGCCCTGGTTCCCTCTCAGAGGGGGGATCAAGGGTCCGCACCAAGTGGTTCAGGGCAGGGGTAAATGTTTTTCTTTGCCCTGGTTGGTCCGTTTGCTTTCAGACCATCCCACCATCCAATAGTTGGTGGCGAGAGGAAGATTGACGGTCTGCGATCGAAAAAAAAACCTTAGCCGAGAAAATACGCGGAGGGGGGCAGGAAGATAGCGTGAGCCTTCAAATTTTTTGATGCGCCCCGAGCCTCCTGTCGCACAGCTGATGCGGTGCAGTGCTGTCCGCCCACCATTTTGCCGATGGGCAACAGAACAGGGCCCTAGTGAACCCTTCCGCCCCCCCCGTAGTTGACCAATCCCCATAAAAAAAAAAAAAAAAAAAAACGGACCGGCAGCGGCATTAGATTCGGACCAGTAGTGTCGCATCCGTTCCCGACTGGGTACCGGCACTAAATTCCAGTTGTGCCAGCATTTCCCTCGTGCCCCCGCCGTCCAACATCGTTGTGAGCATCCCGTTGGCGAGAAAATTGGTCGACAATTCTGTTACACGAAGAGAATTCGCAAACGGTGACAATGTGGTACCATAACAGCTGGCGAGATCCCAAATGTGGTTACAGTCGCACTTGATTGAACACAGATGTCATCACTTGTCCAGGATATTGTTCCAAGCGCGGTCCGCGATCCTACATCTAGGGGGGCTCGTCTGGGGGTGGCGGGGGAGGGGGGGAGGGGAGTGAAGTGGGCTGGGTGTGTGAAGGGAAAGGAAAGGACGCTTCAAGTTGGAACCTAGTCCCTCAGTTTGCTGGAAAGGACGCTTCAAGTTGGAACCTAGTCCCTCAGTTTGCTCCAAGTGAGCCTGGTCACTAGAGCATTTGCTGCGGTTCAATATCACAAGTGCTACCAGTTCTAGTTTGTAGTAGCCTCAGCTGGCTGCGAGTTCCTTCTCAACGTGCCAGCCCAATTAGGTTCCAGCCGCAGCCTCCATGGGGGACATAGAGCTGCCCGAGAATTACTTCAACGAAGTGCTCGAATCGAGGATTGGGTTGAGAAGGGCAGACGGGTCCGATTGGAATGGCAGCCGATATGTTACTAAATCGGCAGCTTATGGTCAGAATGGCTCTCTTCGGGGTCGCAGCGATAACTTCCCAGAGGTGAGATGGATAATGTGTCACATGCCATCTCCGCACAGTATATCGTGTGAGTTTCATTTCACATTGCTATGTGGTTATGGCTCCTTTTCCTGGAATCTTTCAGGCTACCGAGGATCAGATTAGAGCAATTGTGGAGGGGTTTAACGACGTGAATGTGCTTACGGCGAATGGGTTATGCCTGGGTAACGAAAAGTTCATGGTCATTCAAGGTGTTCCTGGCGTTATCATTCGTGGAAGAAACAAGCAAGACGAGGCGGGTACAACCAACTTGAAAGACCGTCCCTTCACCGGTTCTTGCATCAGTTCTAAGATTTCTGTTTTTTTGGGGGTTGTTGCATCAGTTCTAATATATCAGTTCTAAGACACACTGACGTCGTTGCTATTCCCGCAGAACCGGAAAGTTGGTGGTTGCTGCATCCATAAAACTTCCGCTAATAATATTCTGATTGCCACCTTCGAGGAGCCTGTCCTTGCGGGTGACGTGAATATGCTTCTTGCTGAAGTAGCTCAACAAATCAACGACTCGGGTTTTTAATCAAACGAGTATGTTCATGCTGGGTGCTGCTAGTGGAAAACTATAAATACTTCTGTTGTATCTAGTGAGATAATTTTGTTCTGGGTTCCTGTATCTCAGCATCTCTAAAATCCTTTGAGAAAGTAGTAGTATTTATCTGTTTGGCGGTGTTTCAGTCTTCAAAATGTGTGCATTTCCCTGCTATCCAGATCTGAAACAGGCGCAGGATACACAGGCGCTCTTGTCCCTCACGATACACACGGATGGTACCTTGATCCACAGGCGCAGTCAATAGAAGCATGAGGTAGAGGAGTATGACAGGGTCAATAGTAGGGTAGGTTAGTGTCAAATGTTAATGTTATGATAGGCTGCAGTGAGGCACTCCCTAGAGGGTACAACATTTGTAGGACTCCTATTTGTATGCTTGCAAACCCTAATCCCAAGCATTCCGTTGCATTCCTATTCTGAGATGGTATCACGAGCAGGTTAGATCCTCGTTCGTTTTTTTTTTAGCTAGCCTCCGCGCCCTACGCGCCCTCCGTGCTCTCGCGCCCTCCGCGCCCTCCGCGCCCTCCTCGCGCCTAGCCCGCGCCCTCCCGCGCTGTCCAGCCTGTCGCGCGCCCTCCTTAGACCTCCGCACGCCCTCCCCCACCGTTGCGCGCCCTCCAAAACCGTCGTGCGCCCTCCTTAGACCGCCGCGCGCCCTCCTCAACCGTCGCGCGCCCTCCTCAACCGTCGCGCGCCCTCCTTAGACCGTCGCGTGCCCTCCCCTCCGCCTGTCGCGCGCCCTCCTCCGTCAACGCTTCCCGCACACCAGCGTGAGCTTACCGCACACCTGCGTGCACTTACCGCACACCTGCGTGCGCTTACCGCACACCTGCGTGCACTTACCGCATCACTCTGTGTGCGCTTCCCGCACACCTGCGTGCGCTTCCCGCACACCTGCGTGCACTTACCACACACCTGCGTGCACTCACCGCACACCTGCGTGCGCTTACCACACACCTGCGTACACTTACCGCACACCTGCGTGCGCTTACCGCACACCTGCGTACACTTACCGCATCACTCTGTGCGCTTACTGCATCTCTCTCCCCTTCACCTGTGCACCGGTCCCACGCCATTCATACTGCACTTGGCTCCCGGCTCAGCGGCTGGCAGCCGCTCTTCCCTCCGGTAGCGCCACCTAGGTTCGGTTAGAGCCCCGCCCCACGACTATTTTCTCGCCGACTGTCTCTCGTCGGTTTCCCCGCTGGCGTCCCTAGCCTTCCGTAGTTTTCCTCCTCGTTCTTAGCTCCGCCTCCGCCGTGCTCCAGTCGCCTCTAGCATGGGCTCCGCTATGGAGGCCCGTCGCCTCCGTTTCGATGCTGAGGGACGCCCGATCGAGTTCGGTACCTGGCAGCGCCAGACCACCCGTTTCCTCACCAGCCAGCGTCAGGACGGCGCCACTCTGTGGGCCCACGCGGGTGCTCTCGCGGCACCCCCGTCCCCCGCCGCCCTACCGACCGCCCCGGAGCCGACTCCTACGGCCCAGGCGGACTACGACCGTCGGGTCCTGGCTCGGGACGTGTGGCTCTCTCGTGACGCGGCCGCCGCCCTCACGCTATCGGAGCTTCTCCCCCCCGACTGAGGCCGCTCACTTTGACCAGGTGGAGACAGCCAAGGGGGTTTGGGATGCTATTGTGGCTCGCTATTCCACCCCCTCCTCCGCCTCCCTCAGTCGCCTCCTCATGTCGTTCGTGTTTCCCGACCTAGGCTCGTTTGCGACTGTTTCCGACCTAGTGACTCACCTCCGCTCGCTTGACGCCGGTTTTCGTTCGGCCTGTACCGACGCACAGCTCCTTGTTGCTCCCCCCCCCATGTGGCTCACTGTGCACTGGCTAGTCACCCGCCTCCCTGACCGCCTTGCCACTGCCCGCGACGCGCTTCTTCAGAAGCACCCCACTGAACTCACTATAGACCTCCTTCAGACTGCTCTCGGGACCATCGAGAGCAGCCTCCTCACCGTTGCCTCCGCCACTGATGCGGTGGCCCCCCGTCTCTTTGCGGGGTGTGCCGCCCCTCAGCTTCCCACTTTCACCGCTACCCGCGCTTCTGCTGCTGTGTCGGTCTCCGCGGACACCGCTGCCGTTTCTGCCGCAGACTGGCAGAAACGGGGCAAGAGTGGCAAGAAGGGCGGGAAGGGGGGAGGTGGGGGTGGAGGAGGTGGCGGTGGAGGGGGCGGTGGAGGGGGCGGTGGAGGTGGGAGCGGCGGTGGTGGTGGAGGCGGCGGCGGCGGCGGTGGTGCACCAGGGGGAGGGGGCCTTGGAGGAGGCGCAGGACAGACAGGTCCACTCACAGGTGGTGGCCCGACCGGTGGGGGTGCTGCCCCCCAGCAGCAGCAGCCACAGCAGCACCAGCCACAGCAGGGACAGCAGCAGCAGCAGGGACAGCAGCAGTAGCAGGCACCGCAGCAGTTCCAGCAGTGGGGGCCCCCGCTGCAGTGGGGTCCGCAGCAGCACTGGGGTCCCCCGCCGCAGTGGGGTCCGGGAGGCCCTGGGAGCACCAGCCGCAGCAGCAGCTCTTCCAGCTGGGCCCCTCGCCCCCCTCGCCGTGACGCTGGCCCCTGCACCCACTGGTGCCTCACCGGGCCGGGCAGCCCCTGTCTCTGTGGTCGCGACGACCACTCTGCCGCGCGGTGCTTCCGCCGCCTCGACGACCTCTACCGGGCTCGTTGGGGCCCCCTGGCGGTCACGCCTCGCTGGTCTCGTCTGTTAACCCGTAAGATTGATGTCTTTGATTTGTCCATGGACGATGCGCGTCAGCATGCTTTGTATGTTGATGCTGACTTTAGTGCTGAGGGATCTGTGTGCTCGCGTGTTCGTAGTTTAGCCTGCTTGCCTCCTGCTAGTGTAGCCTTGTGCCTGTCTAGCTTAGGTGCTTGTGTTGCTGCTCTAGGTGCTTGTGTAGCGACTGGGTCAGGTGACCCTCCGGCTGAGGCCTCTCTGTCGTTCACGCTGGACTCGGGCGCGTCTCAGTGCTTCTTCCGCGATCACACGACCCTTACGCCACTCCTCACTCCTGTGTCAGTGGCTCTGGCTGATCCTACCTCTGGACCAGCCGTTGTGCGTAGCTCCACCACCCTCCCGTGCCCTGTGGTCCCCTCTGGTGTCCTGCGCGGCCTCCACATCCCCTCGTTCACTCGGAACTTGGTGGGTGTTGGATACCTCCAGGACAGGGGGATCACGGTTACCTTCGTGGGGGGTGGGCGGACTGCAGTCTGTACTGACGCTACCACAGGTGCTGTTCTGGCTACGTTCACCAGGGAGCCCCGCTCCGGTCTCTACGTTCTCCACACCGAGCGCTCCCCGGTCGCGTCCTCCCCTCAGGTCGTTGCGTCCCCTCCGGCCCAGGTCCCCAGTCCAGTTGCTGTGTCTAGCCAGGTAGTCGTGTCCAGTCCGGTCGCTGTGTCCAGTCCAGTCGCTGCGTCTTGCTCCTGTGCTCTCTCGCCCACCGCACCGTCCTGTGGCACCACCGTCTTGGCCACCCGTCGATCCCTCGCCTTCGTGGCATGCTCAGTCAGGGACTAGTCACAGGTCTCCCACGCACCTTCCCGTCGCTCCCTCTCTCGCTTGCCCCTCCTTGCTCTCCGTGCGTCGCCGGTCGCTTACGCGCCACTCCCCACTCCTCCTCCCTTCGTCCGGCCACCGCTCCCTTCGAGACTCTCCACTTGGACGTCTGGGGCCCTGCCCCGACGCAGGGGTCTGGGAGGGAGCGTTACTTTCTGGTGGTCGTCGACGACTTCTCCAGGTACACCACAGTGTTCCCTCTTGCGAAGAAGTCCGAGGTGACTGCTACACTGATCAGGTGGCTTCTAGCCACTGAGGGCACTCGTGGTCGTCGAGTCAGTTGTCTCCACTCCGACCGTGGGGGCGAGTTTCGCTCCGGCATTCTCAGCGGATTCTGCGGCGAACAGGGCATCACCCAGTCCTGGACGCTGCCAGAGTCCCCACAGCAGAATGGGGTTGCTGAGCGCCGCATAGGCTTGGTCATGGACATCGCCCGCACGTCCATGATCCATGCCCGTGCGCCCCATTTTCTGTGGCCCCACGCGGTTCGCTACGCCGCACACCAGCTGAACCTCCAGCCGCGTGTCTCGCGGCCCGAGGTTTCACCGACCAGTCTTTGGACTGGTTCCCCTGGTGTTGGGTCGGCCTTTCGAGTCTGGGGCTGCCTTGCGCAAGTCCGCGACACCTCTGCGGACAAGCTCTCGGCACGCGCCGTCGACTGTGTCTTCCTTGGTTTCCCGGTCGACTCTGCTGACTGGTCCTTTTACCACCCGCCCCTCCACCAGTTCCTTGACTCCCGTGACGTCAGGTTCGACGAGTCCGTGTCCTACTACACCCAGTACCCCTGTCGAGGTCTCCCGGTACCCCCTCCCCCTCTTTTCCTCGCACCCTCTCCTCCTCCTTCTCCCGCTCCTCCGGTACCCCCGCCCCCCCCTGGTCCTGCCCCGTCTGGTGTGTCCCACGCTACCCCTCTACCCTCGGTCGCGCGTCAGGTAGCGTCTCCCTCCCCGCAGTCCTCCTCACAGTCCCCTCAGCAGCCTTCGGCACTTCCGCGTCAGGCTACTGTGGACTCGGTTGGTGTTGGAGCTGGAGGTGCAGCCGCTGGCGGTGCTCGGTCTGGGGGTGCTCGGTCGCGGGGTGCTGGGGTGCTGGAGCTGGAGGTGCTGGCGCAGGTGGTGCTAGTTCTGGGGGTGCTGGAGTTGGAGGTGCTGGCGCAGGTGGTGCTAGCTCTGGGGGTGCTGGAGCTGGAGGTGCTGGCGCAGGTGGTGCTAGCTCTGGGGGTGCTGGAGTTGGAGGTGCTAGCACTGGAGGTGCTAGTTCTGGGGGTGCTGGAGTTGGGGGTCCTGACACTGGAGGTGTTGGTTCAGGGGGTGCTGAGTCTGAGGAGACTGGAGCTGGAGACCCTGGTTCTGCGGAGTCCACTCCGCCTCCCCACCGCCACGACACGCGTCTCCAGGCTGCCCGTCGGCGTGAGCGTGAGGAGCAGGAGCGGTTGGAGCGGGAGCGGCAGGAGCTGCGGGTGCTGGACCTTCTGGAGCAGCAGCGGCAGCAGCAGCAGCAGCAGCAGCATCAGCAGCCGCAGCAGCAACAGCCGCAGCCGCCGCCGCAGCCGCAGCAGCAGCAGCCGCAGCCGCCGCCGCAGTCGCAGCCGCCACCGCAGTTTCCCCTGGAGCGGCAGTTGTTCCCACCTGTGAGTGGCCTGCGGGCCCTTGGCTTTTCCTCCTCTCCTCCTGTCCGCTCCCAGTCTCCTCCTGTGTTTGTTCCTCCGTTGCCTCCTCCTGACGACCGTCCGGCGGTCTGGTCTTCTCCTCCTCCTCAGTCTCCTCCTCCTTCGGTCCGTCACGACTTGATCACTCGTTGTCCTCCGCGTGCTCGTCACTCGTCCCCTGTTACTGACCTCCACACTGCCCTCCTTTGTACGTCTCGTCGTCGTTCTCCTTCTCCTGTGTCCGTTCTCCCGTCTCCTCCTCCGTCCTCTCTCCCAGCCCTCCCCACTCCTATCACTGACTACTACCGCACTGTTCGTCCTGTTGCCGCACGTGTCCTCGCCACTCTTGTCACCGACTCTCGTTTCCCTCCGTCGTCGGTCTCTGCTCTTACTGCCGCTGTCGCTGAGTTTGCTGCCGCCAGCCTCCTTGACTACGCCACCCGTGTGGTGCCAGCTCCTCCCTACCGTCCTCTGTCCGTTGGGGGTGAGTTTGCCCTTGGCTGTGACGTCCTAGAGGACAGAGAGTCTGAGCTGGAGTACTGGGCAGCCGCTTCTCCCTCTGTGTGTGCCATGCTGCTCTCCCCTGAGGGAGACCCCGACGCCCTTGACATACCGACTCCTCGCACTTACCGCGAGGCAGTGTCAGGGGCGTGGGCCTCTCAGTGGAAAGCGGCTATGGACTCAGAGTTGGCGTCTTGGAGATCCACAGGCACCTACGTCGACGCAGTTCCCCCTCCCAGGGCGAACGTAGTCGATGGCATGTGGCTCTTCAAGGTGAAGCGGCCGCCTGGAGCACCGCCGGTGTTCAAGGCGCGCTACGTGGCTAGGGGCTTCAGTCAGCGTGAGGGAGTTGACTTCTTCCAGACCTTCGCCCCGACCCCGAAGATGACTACTCTTCGGGTGTTACTCCACATAGCAGCGCAGCGAGACTACGAGCTGCACTCCCTTGACTTCTCTACTGCGTTTCTCCAGGGCCGACTACACGAGGAGATCTGGCTGAGCCGCCCTCCTGGCTTCACTGACACCTTCCCACCTGGGACCCAGTGGAGCCTGAGACGGCCAGTCTACGGTCTCCGCCAGTCGCCCCGTGAGTGGCACGACACTCTTCGCTCCACGCTTCGTGACCTTGGGTTCAGCCCGTCCTCCGCCGACCCGTCGCTGTTTGTTCGAGCGGGTTCTACTCCTTTCTTTATCCTTGTCTACGTCGACGACTTGGTGTTTGCTACAGCAGACAGGGCAGCCCTGGCTCAGGTGAAGTCCGAACTGCAGAAGAGACACAAGTGCACTAACCTGGGTGAGCTGCAGCGTTACCTTGGCTTGCAGATCACCCGGGACAGAGCCGCTCGCACCATCACACTGACGCAGTCACACATGGTGCAGCAGGTCCTTCGGCGGTTCGACTTCCAGTTCTCCACCACTCAGCCCACTCCTCTTGCTGTTGACCACAGACTCACGGGCCCCTTTCCTGACGAGCCCTTTGAGTCCAGTGGACCCTACGCAGAGCTGGTGGGCTGCCTCATGTACCTGATGACTTGTACTCGGCCGGACCTCGCCTTTCCCCTCAGCATCCTTTCTCGATTTGTTGCGACTGGGAGACACCGTCCTGTCCACTGGACAGCTGCTGTGAGGGTGGCGAAGTACCTGGCGACTACATCAAGCATGGGGCTTGTGCTTGGAGGGACTCAGCCAGTGGCGTTGACTGGTCACTGCGACTCTTCCTACGCTGACGACGTGGAGACTCAGCGCTCGACTCAGGGTTACTGCTTCAGTCTGGGAGCTGGTGCTGTGTCGTGGAGGTCTACACGGTCGTCGTCTGTGGCTACTTCCAGTGCAGAGGCAGAGATCTACGCTGGTGCCATGGCGGCACAGGAGCTTCGCTGGTTGACCTTCTTGCTCGCCGACCTTGGTGAGCGGCCTCGCTCTGCACCGACCTTGTACGCTGACAACAAGGCCATGATCCTCCTGTGTCGAGAGCCTCGACTGGAGAGCAGAGTGAAGCATATTGACGTGAGGTACTTCCTCCTGCGAGATCTGCAGCGACGCGGCCAGGCACGCCTGGACTTTGTGGCCTCAGAGGCCAACACTGCAAACGTCTTCACCAAGGCCTTGGCGCTTGGTGACCACCACAGGTTCTGTGTGCAGTTGGGGCTTGTTCAGGTAGGCCCTAGGTTGCTGTAGTCCTGTTGCTTCCTCTGCTTGTTGTGCTTTGTATTTATATCCTAGTGAACTCTTGAACTGGCCTTGTGGCCGCTTGCTTGCGCTCGGAATTTGTGTGGTGTCCTTGAGATCCACCCTGAGCTTGTCTTGCCTTGACTGGTCTTGTGACCGTTTGTTTCACCTTGCTTGCCCTGGTGTCCCTCACTTAGCCTATGGGGGTGTGTCAAATGTTAATGTTATGATAGGCTGCAGTGAGGCACTCCCTAGAGGGTACAACATTTGTAGGACTCCTATTTGTATGCTTGCAAACCCTAATCCCAAGCATTCCGTTGCATTCCTATTCTGAGAGTTAGGTCCCTCACTCCCGCCCCTCCTACCTCCCTAGCTGCCCTCGTGCCCTCACGGCCCCCACTACCGCCCCACCCTTTAGCGCCCCCCCTCTAGCTGCCCACCTCTAGCAGCGCCCCCCTCCAACCACCCCTTCTCTAACGGCCCGCCGCAAACCCTGTCGCGGCCCTGTCATGGCCCCGTCACGGCCCCGTCACGGTCCCATCGCGGCCTCGTCGTGGCCCTGCCGCGGTCTTGTAGAAACCCTGTTACAGCCTCATCGCGGCCCCGCAGTCGCAGCCCTCCCGCCGTCACAGCCCCGTCGCGGAACTGTCCCTCCTTGTCATATGTTATAGTCTTAGTGATGTGTGTCATATGGGGTACAACCGTTAGGGTTAGGTTTATGCACCCCAACCAACCTTAGTGAAATTGTAAGGATTTACTGTCAGAAGTATAGGCAGGAAATGATAAACACGAAAAAGGTTTGGTACAAAAGTGAAACCTAAGGGGTTGTACCCCACAGTGAGTACCCCACTAAAGCCTACCTAAACTATAACATATAAACATATGTTTGACACACCCCCATAGGCAAAGTGGGGAAGAGCAAGGGGTCACAAGACCAGTCAAGAAAGGCAAAGCAAGCTCAGGGTGGATCACAACGTCACCACACTCACTGAGCACAAGCAAAGGGCCACAAGGCCAGTTCACATGCAGAGGCATATATGTAACACAAACATCACAGTGATCTCTACCTAGCAAAGCAAGCATGCAGGTATATATATACATAGATCACAGTACAAGCAAGGCCTACAGCAAGTGAAGAAAAGTGGGCACAAGCCCTAACATAGTGCAGAAACGCTGATGATCACCAGCCTGAAGTGCCTTGGTGAATATATCAGCAGTGTTGGCCTGAGTGGCCACGTAACGCAGACGAAGCTGACCACGCTGCTGCAACTCTCGAGCCAGAAAGTAATGCAGAGCGATGTGCTTCGTTCTGTGCTCCAGTCTGTGCTCCTCACACAAGGCAATGGTAGCCTTGTTGTCGACGTACAGCACTGGAGGAGAACGAGGCCGCTCTCCCAAGTCAGTCAGCAGGTAGGTGAGCCAGCGTAACTCCTGTGCAGCCATGGCTGTGGCGTAGATCTCAGCCTCACAACTAGAGCTGAGAACTGAAGACGAGCGTGTAGAACGCCACGAAACTGAACCAGAGCCAAGGCTGAAGGTGTAACCCTGTGACGACCGCTGAGTAGCCTGGTCGTCAACCCAAGAAGCGTCTGAGTGCCCAGTGAGGACAACTGAGCTCCTCCCTCCAAGCACGAGCCCCATGCCTGATGTACTGCACAAGTAGCGCAGTACCCTCTTAGCAGCATCCATGTGCACCTTTCGGTGCCGACCAGGAGCCACGTAGCGAGCCAGAAGGCCAAGAGGGTACGCAAGGTCAGGACGAGTGCAGGTCATCAGGTACATGAGGCAGCCCACTAGCTCTGGGTAAGGACCACTCGGCTCTACGGACTCGTCCGAAGGTGGAGCTGAGAGCGAGTGACCTGTAGCCAGAGGAGTGGCCTGTGCCGAGGACCAGGTGAAGCCGAAGCGCTGAAGGACCTGCTGCACCATGTGTGACTGAGTCAGTGTGATGGTGCGGCGTGCTCTGTCCCGGGTGATCCGCAAGCCAAGATAGCTTGTCAGCTCACCCAGGTCTGTGCACGTGTGTCTCTTCTGCAGCTCCGACTTCACCAGGGCGAGAGCCTCAGTGTCAGCAGTGGCAAAGACCAAGTCGTCGACGTACACGATGATGTAGAACGGCGGCAGCGAAGTGTCGGTGCGTAGAAACAGCGACGGGTCAGCAGTCGACGGAGCAAACCCAAGAGCCGCAAGTGTCGTCCTCAGTGTGTCGTGCCACTCACGTGGCGCCTGGCGGAGACCGTAGACCGGCCGCCTGAGGCTCCACTGGGTACCAGGAGGGAACGACCCAGTGAAGCCAGGTGGGCGGCGCAGCCAGATCTCCTCGTGCAGGCTGCCCTGTAAGAAGGCTGTGCTGAAGTCAAGAGAGTGAAGCTCGTAGTCACGCTGAGCGGCAACGTGCAGCAGCACCCGAAGAGTGGTCATCTTCGGGGTGGGGGAGAAGGTCTGGAAGAAGTCTACTCCCTCTCGCTGACTGAAACCTCGTGCAACGTAACGCGCCTTGAAGACAGGCGGAGAACCTGGCGGCCGCTTCACCCTGAAAATCCACATACCACTGACGATGTTCGCCCCAGGTGGGGGAACCTCGTCGACGTAGGTG